AAGTACAAAGTACTTTGTAACAAGAATATTAGCAGTGGTATCCCCTATACAAACTGAATTCAAGCAAAGGCAACACAATGATAAACTGAGCACTATTTCACTGCAAGAACAGACAAAGCTTTCCCAATACTATTTTTGTACAAGAACTACAAATTGTTGAATAATTCTGGAAGTGGAAAGAAAACCAGAAAACAATTGGTATCAAAGATGGCTGGAGCTACAAGGGATGTACTACACTGTTCAGGAAGCTAATTGAGGAAGTAAAGAGGCAAAAATCCAAGGATAGTTCAATGGAGATTGATCATGCACTAAGGGCAGACTACAGAAGAGACAATAGAGAAGACAAGGAGGATAGAAACAATAGAAAAAGAAAATTGTGCAAAATGGAAAAGAATTTTGAGAAAAATATTGGGAGAACACCAATGAGATCTTAAATGAACTGAGGTCAAAGATACAACTGGTATAAATACTGAACTGAGGTAATACAGTAATAATAATAAAAGCACATTACAGATACCAAAATTTCTGCATCAAAATTTTCTTTTCAGATTAGATAGCATTGTTGAACTTTGAAACATAATTGGCAGCAGCAGTAGAAGAGTATCACTATGATGCAGCAGAGAATTGGCAACAGGGGGGAGAAGAATTTGAAACCAATAATAGGAATAAAGTTAATCAAAATAATAACGTCATGAGATGATGATACTTGTCAAATAATTGAGACAATTTGTCGGCAAAAAGAAAAATATCTGCTTGGAATAAAAATTGGAAACGGCCACGAGAATGGACATCAAACTCCTCATGAGAAATGTGTTGTTTGAGAACATGTTCCACAGATAAGGGCCAGATATTTGCATATGAGCAGGGCAAAATAGGCAAGAAAATTTAATTTTATGGAAGTGGGAAAAATTCACACCATAAGAATATCAGTTTGCGTGACATTATTTAGGAGGATGGAGGTTCTAGTACTAGTAGTACTTACTACCAGCAGTAATTAAGTTAAATGCATTGGAATGACCCAAGAATAATATTCATATTGCTATGTAGTTTTTCTGGAGGAAGTACTTCTTTGTGCAAGTACTCATCACCAGTACCTGTACTATTACCTGTACTAGTACACGGAAAATAACAATTCTTGAAATTACTATGTTAATTGGTGAGGCATTGGGAAAGTTAATTTAACATTCTGAATGTAAGCAGTTTAGGGCTATGTAGAAATGATTACTGCAGGTTTTGCTTCAATTTAAACTCCTGAATGCTCTACTTAACAGTCTGAATGTTAATATCAGGAGGGGAGGTGCTGTCCTCTTCTTGTTCCTCTTTTTTAATAGGAAAGAAGAAGACCACCAAAATTACTAGTAGTACTATTGGTTTATGAGGATGATGCTAGCTCGCTACCAGATGAAGAATGTGCATAATACAAGGATCTTAATAGGCCTACAGTCATACCACTCTAACATTCAATACGTTAAATTCACATTCTTTACGTCAAATTTAACATTTGGAATGTTTGATTGATGTTCCCAATGCCTCATTTAACGTTATTTCATTTATTTTACGTAGTGCCAGTAGCAAAATCGATTGGAACAGAGGTAGTCTCTTTCGGTTAAGTCGGCGAAATTAGAGGGAGGATCAAAATGAAAGATTCGTCCATACCACGAATAAACTTTTCACTCTACACCCCTTTTTTCCTTTTTCGGTTAGGTCGGCGAATTCTGGGGATTCTCTGTCATTCGTGGAAGGTCGTGTACGTAGAGTAAGCACTACAGTACCAGAACTTTACTAAGCACTGTACTTACAGTACTGAATATGGTGCACCAATCAGCTTTCACGATTCCAAGAAGCTCAGAGACCCGTTTTAAAGCAGATCCATGACTAAAAACTACTTACTTCACTGTACTGTACTGTACGGTACTGTACTGTATTTCTTAGATCACTTCCCTGTACGAGTACGGTACGTACTATCGTACCGCATTTGTGCTCTGCTGCAGAATACAGTTAGTAGAGAAGTCAGAATTAATTCTTTCTTCCGATACGAGTACCGGTACGTACGAAGTCACGTACTTTCAAATAATTCGAGTTTCCCAAGTTTACAGCTCAGTATTGACTTTTGTTCATTTTTTTCTTCGTTTTTCTCACAAATCCAAATCTTCCTCATTTCAAAATCTAACCGTCGAACAGAACGAAACTGCAACAGTTTTCAAAGAGAAAGCACAATGAAAGCATCGATGAAAAATAAAATACCGACGATGTCGAAATTGATCGCGACGTCAATAGTACTAATTTCGGAACCGGCTTACGCATTCAGATCTTCGACAATACCAAGTCCGACAATTGTAAAATCGTTCGAATCTATAAACCCAACTTCGCAATCTATTGTTGTTGTGAAAAAGAGAGCGAGTCAGGAGATACCGAAGTATGATCTAGGGATCGGGAAAAATAGACCTGTAGGGAGTCAGAATGGCATCATCGAGGAGGATTCATTGGTGGATAGCCGACTAGATCCGACGCAGTTCTTAATAGAGCACGAGTCGGTACGGCCATACCCTTCCCCTCTAAATTTGACAAAGAATGATGTAGATCGAAAAGACCCGAAAAATCACAAACGAAAGAATCTCCCAACAGTTCAACACATCCGACATGCAAAAGATGTCTTGCACATTCAAAATCCCAATTGCATTGGGAGCAATAACAGTGACAATGACAACAGCATACGCTTGTGTCTCCCAATTATTGCTCCGATAAATGATTTCTCTACTGAGAGTAACGAACCAGTAGCAAAGCTCGACGTAAACACAATATGGGTTGAAATGATGCTGTACCATGAACAAAGCAAAATGCTGTGATATCAGCAAATAAGAAATACAAGTAATGATAATAATAATGTATCGGTACGACGTAACAGGAACATGAAAAAACAAAAATCAAAACGAATCGGTCTTCGTTACCCAGCAACTTCATGGCTATTTGGTACAAGTACTTCTATTATCTATTACTCTACCGGTACTTTACCTGGTACCGTACCGTACGTACGATACTGTAATTCATTCTGAATAAATTACGGTACGTACGGTACCTAGTACGTAATTCGTAAAAAAATAAAGTTCCGCGCTTTCAGGATTCAGTTGACTAGATCGATCCAAATTAATAGTAGCAGAGTAGTTGTACCGGTTCGTACCTCATTGTATTCCTTGAATGAACGAAGCAATACGAACTCCTACGTACGTACGAAGTACAGTACAATTATTGTGGCTTTTGATATTGTAACACGTCAGCTGACCGTTCGTAGCAGGACAGCTTTGATTGGACGTCACAAAAACTTTTGGCGTTCGCTCAAGTTTCAGGTTTTAGTTTCCATCTAGATTTTCACCGTTATATCATTGAAGAATACCGGTACCACGGTGCGTGTGAAGTCCTCAGTTCACGTTTACGATGGCACTGACACCATGAAATGTGATTTACGATAACCATTCACCATCAAAGGAATTCAAATTCAACTCGAATTTCTTTTTGATAATCATCTGTACACAATTGAAAATCAGAAACGTGAAGTCACCATGATTCGAAAGATTTCAGATGCTGTGGCATCGATTCTGATGTGCCTGGCATTAGTTCTCACATCAATAGATTCCTTAACGCCGATAAAATCTTCTTTAAGAAGGTTACCGAAAAAGACAGTTCGTAGGGAGAACAGAATAGAATGTGCTTCCTCGAGAAGGTATGGTCATATGCTATCTTCTTCCCGACTTTTTTCGGACTTTTCCTCCCACCCATATTCAGTGTATTACGGTGCAAGCGGTTCCACGGCAAAGCAAAATTTTAGTCAAAACGATGATATTAACGATGTCTATGGATATGGCCCCGACGACCGAGGCGACGACGAACCGTATCTCAACCCTGAAACCCGATTGCGCTCCATGCAAGACGGCGCGCGCCTTAGTGGGCGTCGTGGTGCTACTGTATTTGGTAAGCGATACGAGGGTATACCTGATAATCTTCCCCATCCAAGAGATGAATTCTTCCGTGGTGATCCACAAATGGTGGGTGGCAGAGATCCATATTTCAATGACGACGGATACATGATGGAAAATCCTGAATACATGGAAGATCCCGACGTTCACCCGGAGGATCTCATGTACGAGCGCGAAAATCTGAAAGGTGATCTCGATGATGAGATTCTTGATGAAATGCATCTCCAACCTCGCCACGACATGAACGGTATTCCCGAACCCATCAACGAATTTCGAGATCTACAGTATCCGATTGACAACGCCATGGCCCCAATTCAGACCATGTCGATGGGAAGGGATCAAGGTACGAGCGGTGTGGTCGATGAGGTTATGACCGAACTCAAGAACATGCAGCAAACTGTCCTATCTTTGCAAACCGAACCACAACAAGTGAGGGAAAGCGAGAACGAGAACGGAGCACCTTCACATACTGCCAACTCAGAAGTTCTGATCAATGGAGATTCTACTGCTACTGCCACTGCAAACACAGATCCAGTAAGTATCGAACATGTAATAACCAATTTGGAAAACATGCAGAAAGCGTTTCAGACACAAGGCGTCGACGAGGACCGTCATGGCACTGTTTCGACTGAAAGTTTTGGTAGCAATGCGCCGACCGGCGAAGCCTTACAACCAGTACAAACAGACAGAGGTAATGGCGGTTTGTCGAATGATGAAGTTTTGCAACAACCATCATCAACAACAAATAGGGATGATACCGAGTCATCCAACACGCAGCAATCGCCCAACTGTGAAGTTAATTTTAAATGGCCTTCACAGGAAAGAATAAGCTCAGCCGTTGGTACTATAGAAGCAGCTGACGCAGCTCGATTTTTGAGTGGTGAATATGTAGTTGTCATCAATGCAGAGTTGAAGCGAAAGAGTGATGTTGGGGGGATAGATGATCAGGGTGGACAAGATATGGATGGGGGAAACGACAGTTCGGAGGGGGGGAATCCACCTTTTTGTGGTGAAACTTTCGGTAGTAGATATCTATAACTGCCTTCACTTGATTATGCCATCTCTGGACGTTCGCGTTGTCCGCTTCGTTGCAGTGATTGGCGAGAAAAATACGATGAGAGGGAAGGAAAGAACGACGTTGAATAAAATTGTACCATAATGTTGTTTAGAAACTTATTTTAATTGCGAAAATAACTAAAATCAACGTATGAATAATCAGCATGCTTTGAAATCAATCTGAAGCAATGTATTGTTTTTTGCGGTCAGAAAAGTTCCAGTTGACTGAATTCTAGAACACAGCAACGATCCATCAATTTGGTAAAGGAGATGGAGTGATCATCAAAGACCTTCGAAATCACTGCAAGGCACTATTGATTTGCGCGGTCAAAATTAGTCTATTTGTCTGATATTGTACAATATAGTAACAAGGATTAAGAGCCATTATTGAAATACTGGTGCAACTGGTGTTGCAGAAAGTATTTTTTGGTTATAAGTAAACAACTGCTGCTATCTACTAGGAGTATTACAAAATGGTTTGGTTGACCTAGTTGCAAATAGATAGTGATTTCCTATTTTCTCTCTAATGATCAACACTAGTGATTTGAGCTGGCTTTTGTAAAAAATCTAAATATTGTATTAAACCTGATGAAGTAGAAGAGGCACTAGAAGGACAGCCAGAGTCATTATTTGTTCTCCTGACTAGGAAGAAGAGTGCTCCTAGTTGTTTCAAGGAGCAGCACCTCCCTTCCAGAAGGTGTGTGGAGGTGCAGCCAGTTCTATGCATCCAAAATCTCGGGGGACATAAGAATATTGATGCACAGTTTTGATGGATGAGAGTCATCATGCCATGATCATTTCTAAGTGCAATGCAAAGCCAAAAGGCTAGTCACACCACACCAGTGGAACAAGGAAAAACATGGAGGAATGAGAGCTCACCAGACTCAGTCCCTCCACGACGCACTGGAGCAGTCTTATTTGGCTGTCTTCATCCAAAGCAAAGAGTTAAATTGAACAGGAGGAGAGCAAGAACAAAGAAGGC